CCAACATCTAGAAACAAAGGTGTTGATGGCAGCAGCACAGCTGATATTTCTCTCCAGGATGGAGTCACAGCCAATTTAATATAATAGAAATATTTAGAAAGTATCATTTTTTAAAAGCCTTGCAGTTTTTCTTCACTGTAGACTAGACATCTGTTCAATTATTACTTTATTATTAAGACTCCAGTGGAATTTGTGAGACAACCTTTGGAAATCAGTGACATCGCCTTGCACCAAAATCTGCACTGGGGTGTGAAACCTTCTTTGAAGGGACTGAGCTCCTCTGAGAGTAACCTGCGTGTGAATGTGCACTAATGAGCGTCTCCATAGGCTGTACTTACTGCCCTGGTGACTGACAGGAAGCGGTCATAACTAATGAGGACGATGTTGAAGACAGAGGCGGAGCAGAGCAGGTAGTCCATGACCAGCCAGACCTTACAGAGCCATTTCCCCAGCATCCATCTGCCGGTCAGGTTGTAGGGGATGTAGACTGGGATGCAGAAGGCACCTAGAACACACACACATAGATAGAAGCTACTGCATGATGATTCAACACCTCCAGTTCATTAACATTCACACCTTTACCCTGAGTGGATGGCCGCCCACTCACGTGTGGCAAATTATTTTTAAAAAGATTATGATGCCTCATAAAGAGTGGATTTATTAAGGACCATTTTTTAATAAAAATGTTTTCATCATCCTGAGGTAAATCTGTGACATGGATGATGGTGCTCAGCTACTATATTAATGAAAAGCTGCAATTAACCCATTGGTGCGTAATGATGGATATAAATTAAGATAAAAGAACATTTAGCCATGAAAAAAGAGCAGCTGATCTGTTAGAAATGTGGATCGTGCGTAATAAGGACTCTTGAGGTGGAATTGAATTATTAACACTTTAGAAATAAATAGAAGCTTCTGAAAACACCAACTTACCCACAAGAAAATCGGAGATGGCGAGGTTCAGAAAGAAGTAGTTGCTCTGATTCCTCAAGGTTTTATCCACGATAAAAGCCAGGATGACCAGCGCGTTCCCGGCCACCACCACGATAACCAGGGTCACCATGAGGACCGAGAAGATCACCACCAGGTACCCCGGCAGCACGATCCCAGCCTCGGACACCGCGGGCGTCAGGTTGGCGCTGGAGTTGGACTCCAGGATGTGCGCGCCCATCCTCAGAGCAGAGCCGCTATCGGCGCGCGCCGAGGCGCAGCAGAGCTCCGGCGCGTCCGAGAGGTCCGCTCCACTTCACTGTGGATCTGAGTGGAAACCGGAGGATGGAGAAATTCCCCAAATCTCCCATTTTCCCCTCTTATAGAATACCAAACTTTCCTCCCTTTAGTGCTTTTTATTCTATGTTTCAGGTAAATTAGATTTTTAATGATTGGAGATCCACTGGTTGTTCTCTTCCTCCTTGACTCCCATTAACGCGCTGCTGGGTGTGCTGGTGCCACGGAGCGCACAGCTGATTTTGTGACCAGAGTCAAGTGAGTCATCAGAAGGAAACCAGCATCCGCTCTCATTGTCTGAACAAATCTCCCACTGCGCCAAAACGGTTTAAAAGCCGCTGATATGACCGGGGAAATGCGCACATTTAGCACAAACTGCTTGATTTTTTATGGCAGAGCACCATTTGTAGAAAAAAAACCTGATCTATTTTCATCTGTGTAGAAGTGGTGGGGGAATTGCTTTTATTTTGAAGTCAAAGCAATTTCCTGTGGTTGTCTCCATATTGGGTGTGAGCGCGGTGTGATGAAATCCTCCTGCTCCTTCTGGGTTCCCTGGAGCGCCAAATTACCACAACTGCCTAAATAAAACATGTGCATAAAATAAACCAACAAGATGGCGTTTAAAGAGGATTTGCAATTCTTAAATCTATTAAAGAAGTCAATTATGATGTTTAATTTTTAATTGCTGAGATCTGTGATTAAATCTGTAAAGTAGCCTCTAGCTTTGCTTCACCACAATCCTTATTTGCTTATTAAACTCGCAAATCCTTTCATGATAATTCTAAATGGCACCAATATGTGGGTTATTAAAGATTTTAGAAACTCAGAAAAGTCAGGTAGCTGTCACAACTCTAACCAGTTGGATTAGAGTGAAATGTAAATAATTATGTTGCTGTGTGTGAATAAATGCCAATTATGTGTCATTTTATTTCAATAGAGAAGATTTTACAATTGTACAATTGTCTGTGTTGTAAGAAAGTGACAATAAATTATGTTTTAAATAGAAAACACAGCAAACATGTGGAAGAAGGTTTGAACAGATCTGAGCACAAAAATGCAGCTTTTTGTTCTTACTGTGTGGATAGTTTTCTTCAGCATTAGACTGGGAAGTATGGAGCTAAATAAAAGGCTATAGTGGGAGAAAAGCTGTTAAATGATGCAACAGACTGGGTTGGAGGGATAACATCCAATAGGGAAAAAAACACTGAATTTAGAGCTAGAGTGGTTTAGATCAAAGCATATCTATGTTTTAGGATGGCGAAGTCAAAGCCCAGGCCAAAATCTAAAGATGAGCATAAATGATCAATTAGGTTCTTAGACCATTTTAATATGAATCTATGTGTTTTTATTCTCCCAGGAAGGATTTGCAAACATCCAACTTTTAGTCACAAACTTCATACAACAATAACCTATAAACACTTTAGTTCCTCTGCTGGACTCACATCTCAGTTACAAAGTTCATATCAACAGTTTGATCAGGAAACGACAAAAACTTTGTGTCTACAACAAAATCATAACATTTCTGAAAGCCCCTGCCTTATTAACCCACCATCTGCCTAGCTGGTCTCCAGGGGCGGATTTAGGAAATCTGGGGCCCTAGGCAAAGACAGGCAGGGGGCCCTCTGAACTGAGAAGACAACACATAAACAGCCCCATTCTCCAGATATAGAAATGTTAATAGAATAGACATCCATTATCTGTTCTAGGTTGTGTCCCTCTCTTCTTGTCCCTTTTCTTCTTGTTTTCCTCTCTATGTTTTGTACTCAGCTGACTTTTCATGCTGTCTCTAAAGGAATGAAAGATTTTTTCCAAGCACTAAGCTCACTTAGCTGATTGCTCCTTCCTGTGTTTCCAAAAAGGCCAAAGTAAATAACCCAGTCCTTCTTTTCACTGTAGACAAGCCATGATCTGCTTATCTGTTCTCCATTTTTCATTTGGATGAAATAATAGCTGCATGAATCATGACAGCAGACAAGATAGAGGAGAGCAGGAGGCGGGGTTACCAATCTACTCGCTCTGGAGAGCAGAGTTCGCTGCTTTTAGATGTTGTCTCCAAAGTCTCCAGTAGCAGAAAAAAGTCTCTAGATTTGGCGCTAGGAGCTTTTTAGAAATCAAAGTGCTAGAGGGGTCTGAAAAGTGGCTAAATATAGCGACTAAAGCGCTAAGTTGGCAACACTGCTCTTTGCATGGTTTGTTTTCAAATGGTTTGCTGCTGTCTGTTTGGACCTTTCTGAACATGTGCAGCAAATGGACTGATCCAATATGGTGGACACTGAAGGGGGGGGCTGAGACACACTAAATATTATCAGCGTTCTGATGGCATTTTAGCCCAACAGTTTTTATTAAAAACATAATTATGTTATGCATAATTCTAAGCAATAATGTTCTCGAACCTTTGGCTCGACTAATCAGTAGAGCATTTCAGATCCACAGTAAACCTCCAGTCTAGACCGTCACTGTTTATCCCTCTCCAGATCAAAAGCTCTGCTCTTTATTTCAACATCAATGCTTTACTTTTTATTTTCAGTTAAACAAGAAGTTCCCAGCAGAGTTGATGGACTACTAATACTAATGCAGCACCGGATCAAGCTCAGGTGAACAGCTCCAAGTATAAAAACATTTATGGACAGAAGTCGTTCTCTCCATGCTAAGGTGTGGAATGATGTTCCTCAGAAAATTAGAGCAACCAGCTCAGAACATTATTAAAACAATAAAATAAAACCTATAAACTCTACTTGATGTTCACTTCCAATCATTGATTTTATTCTATCTTTTAATGAATGTGTCATTTCTGGTTTCTGTGTGAAAACTGCTGCTGAACACAAACCAGGTAGAAAACAGTTTTAACAGCATGAGTTATTGTTTCGCTTTTAAGCTTTTCCTGCATAATTAATAAAATGAAAATTAAAAGTATTCATTTTGACAGAGTTGACACTGTTATCTGCTAATTCCTTCAGACATAACCATAAATAGTTGTTAACTCTTGGTGGATCTACAAAGCATTAAACACAAATGCATGCCGCACTTTTTAGATTTTTATTTCCTAAAAACTTTGACAATCATGTGACGGCTTCAATATAACTCTATGTTCCTGCTGTGTTGGTCGACCAGATAAAGTCCCTATAAAATACTTTTTTACTCTGTAGTAACAGGAAAGAATAATTTAATGGGTATGAATGCTTTTGAGAGAAAGGAAGTAAAATATTGTAATAAAATAAAGAAACAAGGACTAAATAAAAAATATATAACTTGAAATGAAACATGCTGATGAGGATTATAAACTTTATTGAGGTAATCATGCTGAGCAATCATGCACTTTGGATTGAATTCTCCTAAAACTGGTGAGAAATATTTCTGCAGAGCCAGGAAGTCAAAGACTCTGTGGTCGGAAAATTTAGATTTCTCTTAATTCATATTTTGATTTATGCTTTTTACTCATTTAAAAAAGTTTTTCACTCAGCCTGTTTCACCTGTAAAGCCACACAATGCCTGCGTGAGGATGTTTGTAGCCCAGACATAGCGTAACGAGCCAGATTCTTTCTCCAGGTTTATTTATAACATGTTACTGTTTAACCAAAGTGTCTGTAATTTACTTTGACTCTGACTGCTTTCCATTATTGTGATTATTGAACGAACGCTGCCCAGATCAGAACAGGGCTGATTACCGTGCAATAGATGAACTGTTCTCTCAATGCAAACATGGAATAAAGTGCCGACTGAGTGAAATCCATCGATCTCCATTTATTTAACTGGAGTGAATAGTGGAGGGTTTCCCACTACAACCCCTCTGCACAGAGATAGAGGGATGCTGCATATTCGGTTTATTTGTTAGAGGAAAGCTAAATTATGAATCTCTGCAACAATTACAGCAAACTGGGGTTATATCAAACTGTAGCGCGCAGTACAGCACATTCCCCATAAAGTTAACTGAAACATCCATCCCATTTTATCAACACTTTGTGTCAGATTGTTTAGAGAGCTACATGGGATTTAAGAAATTATATATTAATCCATGAAGCAGACACAGATGTAAAAATGGTTTAACAAACGGCATCAGAAAGTCTGACTGCAGAGGCATTGTGGCTCAGTGATGACAAAGTGCCTGTCTGACGCAAAGCGCTCGACAGGCAGGTGGCAACTGTTACAGCACATGACAAAGTGAGATGAAAAGGACCAAAAAGATCCACAAGGGAGAATATTTTATACTTTAGTTCAGGAGTCTTCAATGTTTTCCAGGCCAAGGACCCCAAACTGATGGCGATGGAGCGGGGACCCCCTAATTATATATATTCTAT